TTGAAGTGCAATGAGATTATCAATATTTCTGTAATAAAAATTTTAATATTTATGTAATGAGCCACGATGGCTGAGGAGATAGAGCGTTTGCCTTTCAAGGAATTGAATCTGGTTCGCATCCCAGCTATGGATGGTCCAGAAGAATCCGCATCTGGCTTGCACCAACCACAGGGCTGACTCGAAATATCCTCAGTCTTAGGCAGATCATGGGTTAGAGTCCCTTTGCCGTCAGGCTAACCGTGGGAGGTTCCCGTGGTCTTTCCCTCCATTTTACGCAAAAGCGGGTTATTTCCATCAAAAAGTCCTCCACGAAATCAAATTTCTCCCAATGTTAGATCCAGGAACTCCCTTGCCTTATGGATTGGATTCGAAATTTCAAGGCTATGACGGAGTTGAACATTAGTAGTCATATCGGAGTGTCGGCTGTTCAACTACAGTTATAGAAAATAATTATGTAATGGCCACATCCTAAATCGTTGGACTTAACTTACAAATAAAGCACGAGGGAAATTTCCCTTCCTTTTTTGAAATCCCTGATTCTCTTAGGTTCAAAATTCAGGGGGAAAATTGCGCAATTATTCCATACTATTTAGGCATTTCCATAATAACATTTCCATAGCATTTAGGCGAAAAGAAAAGCGAAAAAATACCGTTGAAGTCTAGCGAATCTTTACAGAAGAAGTTGGGACAAAAAATAAAGTTTGATTGCTTTTGTAACAATTTTTTTTATCTTCCTCGACGAAATTGAATTTTAATGCTCTTTCCGGTTTATTTTTTACTTAAATTTTAAAGTGTTTTTTAAGGTAGTTAAGAAATAGCATGTATTTCTTCTTTCCCGATTAGCTTATTTACTTTACCTTTGCATTATCTTACAGTTTTCCTGGTTGATGGACAAGACGAGTGCCCTGAAAATGTGGTAGAAGTTTGCGGAATTCCCATCCAAGAATTGAAATTCCCAACGTGTAACAGTGAACTGGAAGAACTATGCAAGTAAGAAGCCGATGAAAGGAGAAAAAAAAATCTTTTTTCATTAAAAAAATTAATTTAATTTCACTTTATTCTTAGTTTTATAAGGTGTTTTCTACAAACTGCGTTGTGTATATTGGTAGAATCATTATTAAAATAATATGCATATCAAGAATTGCAAATTAGTTTTTAAGCAAGTTTTAAAAACAAAACTCTCTAAATTTGACATATCACTGATAAAAAGAGGGAAATTAACATTATCAAGGTTGGTCTTCCAAGCTAGCCTAGTTTAATTAGCAAATTCTCTCATTTTTCTCCCTTTACTTGACAAGTTCTAAAGATATACATTTAAATAATCTCAAAACATCCTGTATTTTTAAAAGTTTTTGTCAGTAAAAATTTTTGATAGCAAACGCAAGAAGTCCAAAAATTTCTTATTAATAAAAAAAAATGTTTTCTTAATTTCTTTTAGAAAATTGAAAACTTTTGCTCAATGTGTAATTAATAACAAAGAAATATGCCCAGATACCTATGGTCCGAGTTTAGAATTTGCGCAATCTCTTCTAAGCACAAGCAATACATTTTGCATGAGCGACTCTGCTTGGTTTAAAGGTAAGTTAATTTTTTAATAAAAATATTATCAAATTTAATATATATATGTACGCTGAAGATCCATTACATTATGACCACCCTCCACCTGTAACAATGGGCTAGCCCAGGTTTTCTTGGATTCTCGCCCAGGAACAATGTTTTCATGGGGCACATTAGGAGCCATAATCCTCATAGAACAATCACTGACGTCTGTAAGCTACTTGAACATAGTTGCAGACCAGGTTCACCCGTTCATAGCAACAGTTTTTCTGCGGGGAATGGTGTTTACCAACATGATAATGCACCATGTCATATGGGTCGAATCGTCGAGGAACATTCCAGTGACTTTCAAGCCTCCAAATTCACCTGACCTTTATCCAATAGAGCATTTGTGGTCCTACTTGGAAAACCAAATTCCTGCTGGCACGCTACCCCCTCGCAATGTGAGGGAATTGCAGGACCAGTTGGCGAGCGCTTGGTGCCAGGTACCTCAGACTACCCATCAGCACCTTGTGAAATCAATGCCACGGCGGGTGCTAACAGTTTTGAGGGCAAAGGTGGTCCTACATGTTATTAGCAGGGTGGTCATAATGCAATGACTCTTCGGTATATATATATATATATATATATATATATATATATATCAAACTTATATCAAGTTTTCAAGTTAATAATGATAAAGCAAAAAAATCTAACAGGAAAATAGACATGATGAAACAAACCATATAAATCTAATATTTTTTAATATATACATACTTTTTTTAATTTCGTCATATTAATAGCATTTAATTTCAAATATTCTTTGAAACAGTAGTAGTTTCTCATTGTGTGACATTAAGGAAAGGGTTGAAACCAAATCAGTTGAGAATAATCTCTCTAACAATAAACGACGATTTGAAGCGAACAGACAACAACCCCTTCTTTGTAAATAGTTTTTAAACAAAGAGCTTTAATTGTGCTCTCTCTCTTATACAGAAATCTCTGCAGTACGACAGCAATGAACAAGCTTTAGTTTCTATCTTAAAATAGTATCGATTAGCAGCCCTGATTTAACTAATTGTTCGTATTTTAATTTAATTTCCATTGTACCAACTTATGAAATAAACTGAAATAAAATTATAAAAGTACAGCATTATTATGAAATGAACGGTAAATTTTGAAAAATTGTTAAAAATGCTTGCATAATTTATCTTAGTAATTAAATATAGAAGTCGGTCTAAATTAAGATTTCCACGTCTTATAAAATAAATCATTCGAAAGTTAAGAATTTACCGATAAATGTAATAAAAATTTTTAGTAATAGCTATTATAAATGAATCCTCTTTATGTAATTAGTGTAAAATTATTTATAGCAATAAAATATGTTTGAAAAACTACATTGTATTGGCAGAAACTAAAAGAAATGTAACTATACAATATTTTTTTTCCTCATGTCTGAATGAGAATTTCACAGTAAAATCTGGAATATTTTAAGGGGATAAATACATATTATAACTTGAAAAAAAGGTTTTTTTAAGATTTTTTTAGAATTTAATTAAATTTAAAAATGTGCTGCTTGAGGTGGTATAAATACATGGTGAAACCTATATCTTAAAAACCAATAAAAATATAGTTTTTATTTTTTGTCAGTTCATCTACGCTGGCTTTTAAATACCATAATTTTAAATTGATTAGTTAAATGAATAGATCTTTTTTTCAATTAGTCAATTTTTACTTAGTCAATACTTTTTAATTTTTTTAATTTATCATTTGTTGCTGTGATATGAGTAAAACTCTGAGCTGTTAATTTCTCAGTGTTTTTTAAACGATTTTTTCTTAGTTAATTTAAGAAGTGGCTATGAAATTTATACTATTTACATTTTTAGGTAGTTAAACTATCATATTTAGCAATTTTGCACGCATAAAATAAAAAAGTACGTTTTTGTAAGCATTAATTACCAACCGGTTGTACTCCTTTCTTTGTGTACTAGCATACTTTTTCTAACAAAATTATAAAAAAGATTAATCTAAAAAATTTTTAAAAAAAGCGTTCTGGAAAGAATATATCAAACATTCTACGATGAGAAAAAAAATATTGTCAAAACTACCAGAATATGGCTCTTCCGTGTTTTTCTCTATATTCTCTAAGTTTTTCCGTGTTTTTGGCTCTATGAGAACACCAAAATGCTCGGTAATTTTTACTGAAGCGCTTTTTGTAAAATTAACGATAAAACATGATTTTATAAAATGTAAAAAATTTGGTAAATTTATCATGAAACCTTAGATTATGAGATAAAAACCTTTTATACGGTTAAACTCTTTTTTCATTTTCTNTATATATATATATATAGAAATTAGAAGAAAATAAGAAAAAGTTAAGCAAATATTTTTGGAAATAATGTTTTCAGACTTACTCTTTAAAAAAGGTCATAGCTCAATATGTGCATTTAAAAAGATGGCTGAGCTCAAAATACACGTTAACGAAGTGTGACATATCACAAATCGCTCATTTTCAATGTTAATCAAGAAACCCGTATTTTTAATTGTTATTCTTAAAATAGCAACTATCCATATCAGTATGAAAATTTGGTCAGTTGTTTTAGTTTTGCTTAATTTAAAAAACACTAGTTAATTGAGTTAACGTATTAAATACAGGCATGAAAGTAGATTAAAAAATGGATTTAAATGATAACGTTTTTTTTTAATTTCGCAATTTTAGCTATGACGGTTTTCTTAAACATCCATTCTGAACTATATTCCTCTTTTGAAGCACGCATTTCTAACTATGAATATTTTTTTATTTATTTGAATTTAGAACAATGTTTAAAATAAAATAAATTTACTGTATTTTTTGTACCATAACAGACAACACGTCAAAAAATTGAAACCTCAATTTTTGAAGCCATTTTTTGTAATTATATTACAGTATAATGCGAAATTATTAATATAATAATTTAACACACAGTATTAAAAGATATGCTAGACGCTAGCATATGTTCTAGCTTGCTACTTCGTCAGAAATTTTAAATTATTTTACTGCATTTTGTAAACGCATGAAACATGATTAGCAAGAAATAAATAATCAGTTTTTGACCTGAAATAAACAGCGTAATTAATTCAAGATTTAATTTTGTACGCGTTTTTGCACGAGCTATAAAACATAATGTTTTTTCAAGACTGAAGAAATCGTTTTTATACATAACCTGAAATGTTTTTTTTTAGTAATTGCAATGTTACCGCATCCCTATATTCACATGTTTCTAATCAACTATTATTTTATACTTGAATATTGGAGAATTTGGGGTAGAAGAAATAAAACCAGGTAATTCTAATTTGTTTTTACATAAAAGCAGAACAAGCTGCCTCAGGTAGTGCGAGAACCAAGTATAAATGTTAAATCAAGCCTGGTATTTATGGTGTGAGAGAAATTACATAAAACTTTTTTCCGGTTTTATCGGGCTCACACAAACTAATTTTAAATCACTCTTACAAGGAATACTTACACCAATCAATATTTATTTTAATTTGAGATAATAAAACCTGTTTTTATTAACCAGCTTGAATTCAGACTACTTTTTTAATGCATTTTAGTATTGATATCACAACTTCTGTCCGTATAATTGATATAATGTCGAGAATATGTGGTGAAATGGAGACAGAATTAGGTCTACATTTTCTGAATGGAATTGGATTCTGGAACGTCTTTTGTTTGAATCACAAAGAAAACGCTTCAAAGATGATGAATGAACATGGAATCGATTTCAATCCAAAATGTACAAAGGAAGAATTTGTGACTCAATTTGAAAGTATGAGAACAAACATTGCTATATCTTAAATCTTGCTTTTTTGTTTTGCTTCTGAAAAAGCAAAACTATTTTTTTAAAACTGCATTTAATTAAAACTATTTTTTTCTTTCAAAGCAATATTTTTGAAAACATCACCTTTTATCTGGAGTCGAAGAATCACAAAATGTTCACCTGCAGCGTTGATGAATTGTTTTTGCTGATTAGTTGTATTGCTCGAATGATAATAAGGAATATAGCAGAACATTATTGTTAGCAAAAAAATCTTATTGTCAATAGTATTAAACGTTATCGGTAATTGCATGCCATTCAATGTGCATAGATCCTTTCGTGCGAGTCAACCAATTTTCAATGGTACGTTTTGGTAACGTTTTCGTTCATATGGTAACGACTTTGCCAAAAATTCTGCTTTTCAAAATTATAATTTTTACTACGACCCTTTTAGAAAAAAAAAACAAATCTGGAAGATAAATTTAATAGAAAAAGGGTTTTTATGCCATACTCTAAGGTATCATAATAAAATTGCCAAATTTTATCACACTTAATACTTTTTTTTGCATTATAAAACCCTATTTTATTGTCATTGTTACCAAAAACCGTTTCGGTATAAATTAACTTTTATTGTTCCCATTGAGCTATTTTACCACTATCTGGTAGTTTTGACCATGCTTTTATTCTCAGTGTATCAATGAAATTTTAATACTGAATCCAAATTAAAATAAAATTAAACTCACTTTCCTCCGGTCACAATTAGCTATAAAATTTTATTTTTTACTCTTACTCATATTTAATTACAAAAACGCGTAATTGTTTAATTTTATCATTCTCGGTATAATATCGGTGATTAAAATTTGTATTTGATTATCATTGATTTTGTAATATTCATGTCATTGATATTTTAAGTTTTATATTTTAGATAAGTCAGCCAATTACGGATCAAACAAAGATGTGTGCTTAAGAAACTATAAAAATGTATGTCAGGATCCGGGGGATTTCCTACATGATTTTCCAGAAAATACTGCGGATCTGTCTGCAAGATGCAAGTGAGATAACTGATTTTTTTTTAATTAATCATGATTAATTTATTGAACTGCAAAAGTAATCTAAGGGAAGAGAAATGACATCGATCCCATTGTGCGATCTCTGATCATTTAGTATCTTAGAAAAACTGCAATTTTCATCTTATTTTCCAACAACTGCAATAGGAAAATAAATAAAAAACACCGCATTTTTTTAATTTGCTGCTGCAGAAAAAATACTCTATAGAAAAAGCTCTTATTTTAAACCATAATACCATCTTACCGTTAGGAATTATCTCTGCTTTAAAACGGACAAATAGCTTATATTTTTAAAAATGAATGCACTTTTTTAGAAATCGCTAAGAAAAGAGAGTTGCTCCGACTAGAATCAAAATTATTTAAATCAGTAAATAACTCAAAATCTTTGAAAATTTTCATGATCCCAGAGAATATGATGTTGGAGTAATTCATTAAAAAGTTAAGTCACAATCATTTTCCTTCACAGAATTTTTGCGCATCTTCATGTCGACGTTTTAAAACTTTATATAATCTAGCATAGCTTGCGCTGATTAATACTAGGTAACTCATAACATAATATAAATAAATAAATGTTAATAACTCAGATGATTTATGGAAATAGCATATATTCGAAGTAAAAAATAAACAATATTAATAACTTAACCAGTGAGAAACTGAAAAGTAATCAATAAAATATGAAAATTTCGTTGGTGTGTCTTATGGCGTGAAGGGTCAAGTAACATTGTTCAGCGGTTCTCTCTTTGAGGAATTCCTAATTGGAGGTTTAGACGAGATTTTTATTTTATAATTCTATTTAAAATTTGTTCTTCAATAGATTAGCTTGATCTCTAAGAAATAGGAAGCATCAAATGTAAGAGGCTTTAAAAGAATTAGAAATACATCAGCATTGTTTATATTACATTCAAACAGAGTTTTAAAAAATGGTTATATAAAAGTGATTGTTCCTCGATTGTAGTAGTTAAGCATGGATCTGAAGCTTTATAAACTACTTGTGTAAATTCCGCAAGCATCTGAGAATAGGATACATAACGAGCAATACATTTTCAGAGTAGAATTTTTATTTTATTTTCAGAGCTCATATAAAGTACAAAGAGTGTTTGATTGATTACAAAGAAAAATGTGGGGAGAAAATATATGGAATGTCACTTCATGAAGATTTAGAAACTCTGAATACCTTTTGTGACGAAAAGTCCGTTTTGTTCCGTGGTAAGAATATTAACATTATCTTCCAATAACGATGTTTGACGTATTGTCTTTTTATTTAATCTCTATTTAAAAAAAATATGTAATATAGTAGTTTTCGAAAAATGATCCCATCTTTTTTTGCTCCTTACTTAGAAGCCATAATATTAGTTATTACATTGGCATTCAGTCGTACTTCAATGTTTAATATACTCTGTTTTAATTTCATTTTGATTTTAGAATTTTATATGATATATTAGGTTTCGGAAAATGGTCTCTTCTTTTTTGTTCTTAACTTATAACGCATAATAAACTGATAAAAAAAAAGAATTTGTTTCTTAAAATTTACATCCAAAGAATAAGGGATTGAAATTATCTTACTAAATTCGAATTCACAAAGGATTCCAAAGCTCCAGGTTGAATTTTTTAAAATTAAATTACAACTTACAAAAGACTCAAATGATCTAGAATGAAATTTTCTAAATCAATAAATTCACTTCACTAGATTCATGAAATCTAGAATGGAATGTAAGGAGACCCTTAAATTTATGAATGACTTCTTAAATAAGCAAAAAGGAAACAAACATTATTTTTTTAAATCTACTCAAGAGCTTGAGAGTTCGTCTTCAAGCGAGGCAACCCAGGTTCGAATTCCAGTGACGGCTTGTTCTGCTCATATTTTACTGCTTGTGAGGGGCTATAAGTTTAAGTATTATCTAATTCAACATATTTATAAATATATTATGCTAGCGTAATAATATATATTTAAATAAACACAAAGCAGTAACGTAAATATTATATATTTAAATAAACACATAGCAGGTTTTAACAATAATTATCTATTATTAGGTACCAAAATTTCATATTGTTGCACCTGTATGGGATTATAAGTGCGGGATACTAGGAAAAATAAAAACTATTTTATATTTACATGGATATAAGAAATATAATTTATCCAAATTAATTGTTTGCATGCATTTGAAAACAAATTTTGTAACTTAATATTTTACTGTTTCAGCATTGGCAGTTACGGGAAAATGTTTCAATAAATGTAATCCAAATTCTAATGAACTTGTTGAAAAAAGAGTTTACAGTTGCTGTGATGAAATAAAAAATAAAGATATAGTGAAGTATGAACTGGAATACAATCTACGATATCCGGAAGATTATAATATTAGGTTCTGTTTGTAAGTATATACTCATAAAAAATTATAATGCTACAAGATAATAACAATAATTTTATGCTAATGAAATTAAAGTATACGTCGAACTACGTGCGAATAAAGCATCGTTGATAAAGCAATAATAGCACAAACACACGTATGTTACAGTTTCGACATTATAGTAATCCTTCCTCAGTGTCGGAACACAGAATGAGTCAACGACTATTGTTATAGAAAACACAGAATACTCATTTTGCCTCTTTCTGTGACATTCTGGTTTAGCACTAATTTAAGCGAATGGAATTAAGGCATACTCTATGAGACGCGTGAATAAAGCTGAGCAGCGTGAATAGTGCTTGATTAATGATGCAGAACGAGCATATAGTTTTGTCTCTGTTGTAGTTGTTGTTATTTAAGCTACTTGTAAACCACCAAGCCTGCTTGAAATCGATCGAAATTTTTTAGACAGAGGGTGCATTTTTTTGCTTTTTCTGTGACATAATCTATGTTCAAGAATACGACTTAAGCCACACATCTCACAGTCTGTTTTACTTACCCTATCATACTCCATCCATCCATTCATCCACAGATCGTAAATGTGACCTGAACCAGAGAACAACCAATCTCCTATTCAGTACCCCCAGAGCTATTGATTTGGTATGGGAACTTAGAGGATTTGAGACCCCAACAGATTTAACTTACACCAGTCACCATTTAATACGCGGGGCTTACTCGGAAGGTGGGATTCAAACGCTTTTTCTCACGAACACAAGCCTAACGTCCTACCAACTAGGCAATCTCGACCCACTTCGTTTCTATAATCAAAAGCCTTTTGGAAAGTTGGTACATTGATTGAGTCAACGTCTGTTAAATTATAAATTAACGTTCATTATTCTATGAAATGATACAGAATAATCATTCACTGTTTCTTTAATTTGTTCAAATCAAATTGGGGCATAATTCGTGCCAAAATAGTGGCACGAAAACAGAGATACTTTAGTTTTATTTCCGAAAACAAGATTCTACCTCATCGTCGAAATACAGAATGAGTCAATGTCTATGGTTTTATGAGCCCATGTATATTATTACCAAAACGGAATAGTAATTCTTGAAAAACATTAATTTTTCAAATGCAATTCTTCTTAACTTTCTTAAACAAGTGAATATGTCTTAACTGTGAAGCACAAACGCAGACATACCATAATGTGCCAGCATCTCCTAGTATACGAAACACTGAATAGCATATTCTGGAATAACATTTATTTTTGCATATGAGATTAGGATAATTAGGGTTTATAGAGATTGAATTAGAGAATAATGAATTAGTATAGTTTTTCTAAAGTAACAACTCCCCTAGCCATTTTTCTGAACCCGTGGCGGTGACTATGGTAACGAGGTATAACTATTTCAAGTAGGGGTGTGGGGTCACTGTTTAGGACAGGTTTTGGATCGGGTTGGCTAGAGAAAGGGTCTTCTTCGGTCTATTTTGCCAGCCCTAGGGTGAAGGTAAGCTACCACTCCCTGAAATCATCTTCTCAATCTTGAAAACCTCTCCCTGATTTCTCTAGCAGAAGACGGCCTCAGACTTTGTGGAGGGGGGAGCTCTTAGATTAGACAAGCTATAAATTACTACACATGGATATATCTAAACAATACGAATAAAGCTCAAATAGACGCACAAAATCAGACGTACTACAGTTTCGCTTCTTCTATAAACAAAAACCTTCCTCTGTGTCGTATCACAGAATAAACCAACGTCTTTTATCTTATGAATCAATGTCTATTATGCTGTGAGCCCACTTCTGCTATTGTATGAAATAGATATTTGCTATTTTGTGTTCGACACTGAGAAAAGTTCGTGTTTATAGAACCGGAACTTTAAAATATATGTCATCCACTAGCACATAGTATATCTGTTAATGTGTTATTATGTTTGCTTTATTTTTGCTATTTTTTTATTTTTTCATTTATGATGAATTTTTATTGCTAGTTTCAAAATAGAGCATTATTCATATCTTTTTATTTTTTAGTTATGATCTCCAGTTGACGAAGTGTCTGGCTGACGTAATATTAAAAGATTGTGGAGAGACAGCAAAAGAATTAATGTTGCATGCCTTAAAAATCAACAAATTGAAGTACACATTGTGCCGAGATTTTCCAAAGGAAGCTGCGTTTTTCATGAATGAATTAGATTTCAGTTTGGAACCACAATGTTCACTTGAGGATTTCCGTAATCATTGTGAGAACGAAACCGAAAACGATTAAGACTAAGAAAATTCCCTTCAAAATAATAAAAATATTATTTTGTTCTAAATCTTATAACTGCAATTTAGAAACTGTACAATAAAAATTAATGTACTGAAACAATAGTTTTCGTTTTATTGTCTCAATATAAATTTCTTTTTCATTATTCTAATAATTGTGTTATATAAAGAAGTCCTATAGTGGTTTTGAATGTTTGATTGCTTCACACCTCAGTTGTGAAAAGTAATTAATTTAAAATAATTTTTTATTCCACAAAATGATACATTTAGAAAAGTGAAATTAATGTAATAAATAATCAGATATTTGTTTTTCTAGATGAAAAGGAAGAGAATATTTAAGATTTTGCAAGGTTTTCAAAATTATTTGAAAATTATTTGAACAATTTTAAAATTCTTTTACAATTTTTTTTCTTTCAGTTTTTATACCTTATAAACTACTATTTTAAATAGTTTTTAAGGGACATTGCAACAATAAGAAGCAAAATTTCTAATTGAAAAAATGTCGATAGTTTAAAATTAGAGGTCCTTATTATATTTGACGATATGAAAATTAAAATCTATTTGAAAATAAACCCAAAACCCATAAAATAAATGTAAACCAAAGTTGCGGTAACCTGAAGGAGACATCAATGAAAGCAAAGACAGCTAAGAATATCATGGTTACCAGAAACAGGGTTTTAGCAAAACTGAACGAAATCTATCGTCTAACTGAGGCTGGCCAATTCTTTTGCCTTAACTAAAATTTTTTAATTCTTCTTAAATATAATACTTTTCCAATTAAGTATGCAAACTAAACTAGGAGAAATACATATATTGACGTTCAAAAACAGTAATTCTTTTGTTCGACGCTTCGGACCTTTGTTGCTATTAATTCTGAAATTGTTTACTTTGGAAAAAGTAAAAGAAACAAACAATTTTTGATGAGTTTTGATTCATGAATTTTCCTTAGAAGCATTAGTATGAGGTATTAATTGATACTAATATTAGTATATTTTAGGTACAGCTTTTAGAATATGATAAAAACTAGTGAAATTTAATCTAAATCTTCAAGTACTTTCTTGTAGAAATTTTCACTTTTTGAGAAATTTATTTAGAGTTTATCTATTTGGATAAATCCAGGAATTCAATGTTAAGTTACGATTTTCAGTTTCCAGAAGTATAATATTGAGAGATAATAAGTTTTTTTAAATTATAATAAAAATTTTTTATCAATACGCCGTGAATAAAAATCTTTTGACACAAATTATTGCTTAATAGGGGGCTAAGCCCCCTGTTCGCTGCCGCTCACCAACCCCGATTATTGCTTCGCAATAATTGTCCTTTCTTGACAGAAAACAATTTTTCTACTAAAGTTAAAATTATTCGCTTAACATCTATGTACTAAAAGGAATTCTGTTTACTTACTTTTGTGCCTCTACTTCCCACGTCTAAATATTAATCTCAAATATTACTTTACCCAAATATTAGATCTTTTGGTGAACGGAAGTGATATTTCGAAGTAATCATTTTTTAAAATAACATTTATATTCTTATAGCATTGTATTGTTCAAAAACATTTGATGAGTTCACAACCATAATTTAATACTCTCGCAAATAGTAGCAGTACTGGAAAATAAGTTTAAATTAGGGATACAAAAATATTTAAAGAAAAACAATACCTTTACGACTATTGTTAATTTTGTACTGATGACAACCAACACTATATGGAAATGAATGAGGGAAAACTGGATCCTACCACGTGATTTTCCGGCCTTTAAAAATGCACCGACAACAATGGAAAACTGCGACACCATCATTAGAATTTTATATATAGTAAGAAAACTTAAAGAAAATTAATTAAAATATAGCTACTTACATTTTTCTTAGAAATTTCCTTGTCTGTAATTTTAGAGAAAAACTGGCAAATCATTTAAATAAAAGAAAAGAAAATTGTGTCACTTCATTGTTAAAGTATTACATAGCATTGTTAAAATTAGAAAATTGAGCTAAGTTTTGATTTTAATACTTTTTAAAATGAATTCGCAATTATTGAAGAAATATAGACATCAATGGTCAGATATTTTTCACTGTTTTTAAGTGATAGTAAATTTAATATTTAAATTTACTAGATGATATCATTAGAGATATAAATGAGATGAGAATTTAACAAATATGAGTACACATCATTTTAAACACTTAATATTGGCATTATGATGCTTAAATAATAATATTTAAATTGATTTTTAAATCTTATATAAATAAACGTTACATTTTATTGAAATAAATTACAAATGTATTCTCACCTCCCTCAGGTATTCGAGTACAATTTTTTTTCCAATCACCTACCCCATGCTTAACGTCAGCTCAGTTTATCAGGAGCAGGAATTAACTACAAGAGCTATAGCTTATTAATTTTAAAATTCTAACAAATTTTTAATAAAAACTGTAATTTAGTTTGATATTTAAAGCTTTTGATAATTTCCAAGGTATTTAGCTAAAAAGATTTTAGCTTTTTGCTTTTTTAGTGTTAAAATGTTAAGTATTACAAAACAACGTTTACAGAAAAAAAAATTGTATGATTTATGTAAAATGCACTAATATTAATTTTAAATATAGTGAAATATTTTTTTACGTTTTAAATAATATTAAGGAAATTTTTAAATTTTGAAGGAATTATAAGCAAATGTTGCTTAAGAGAATGGAATTTATGTATTTATCACTAATAGTAGCCTTAAGGGAACGAAATATGATATTTTTGTCTGCCTATGTTTTTTTGTCCTACAAATGCAATTTTCTTTTCACATTTTACCTACATTTACCTGTTTCAATTGCATTTTGCCCACTTTATTTTTAACAATTAATTCGACAAAATTCAAGAGTTATCTCATTTTGAGTACTTTGATTTTAAAAACTTAAGCTATTTTCTTTTTAAATTAAGTGATATGAATGCTTAGACGAAACATGCATAAAATTTCTCTATTAGTTTGAATTATCTAGAAATAATATCATTTTCAAAGCTTATTTGCTTTGTCTCTCATCAAATGTGATGATGAGTTTTGGGTATTCACCTGTTTTGGAGAGAGAAAAAAAAATCGCGTAACTTTTGTTGACTTCGGTCGTCTTCAAATAATAAGCATCAGTAGTATTGGGATAATAACTAATAGATACTGTGGCAATAGTATGGCTTAATATTGTAATACAGCCACTTAATATAGTAATACAGGTACCTAAAATATATTATGTTGTAATAGGTTTTACGCCTTTCTCAAACATGGAAGTACTGATTTAAGTTATTCTAACTTTATGATGAAGATATTTAAATTTTTTTGTATGTGGAGCAAATTTAATTTAAATATATTTTCATTTAATGTTTATTTCATATTTGGTGATAATTTGCTCAGTTATTTATTATTATTAATTTAGTGTGAAACTTGCATTTATCCAAGTAATAAGTAACTTTAAATATAGCATAATGAGTGTTGCATATTAAAAATGGGAAAGTAAATTTGACTTATTTGGAGCATTTATTATTTTTTAAAATGCGACTTAAATAAAAAGGGCAGTCAAAGGCACTAAACGTTTGACTACTACACGTTTCATTTGTGAAAAATAAATAATTTTAAAACACTTATTTTTCTTTTAATTATGATCTTGCTGTCTGTGATTGAAGTAAATTTAAATAAATGAATTTTTTTTTAAGGAAATATAATATAATGATTTTCTAGGTACGAAAAAAATTGGTAACAAAAATGTGAGAAACAAGAAATTCTTATCAAACGTTACTAGAAGAATGTTACACAAGATTTAGGGATTTTCAAAGTAATTTTCCTATTAAAAAGTTGTTAAAACTTTTTTTATTTCGCTATCATTCAAAATATTCAACAAATTATGCTTCTTTTTAACTATTTTTAAAACTGCAACGCATTCAAACTAACAATTGACTTTCTAGAATTCTATAAAAGATATCCAAGTTTAATCAGGAGCTTCAAGCACTGTTTTGTTGAAATTTTAATTTTTTGAAATACCTATTTAGTGAACTAAAGCTGTTTAAATATATATAGGCATTCTATATTCGCTTTCAACAAAACGAAACGAGACAGTTTTGCTTTTTTCCGAAGTAGAATATTGATTGATAATAAGGTTTCCGCAAAATCATTACGCTATGAATAAAATTCTTTTTAATCCAAAGAACATTGAATGAAAAATTAATTAAAGTCTAGCTACTTACATTTTTCCTACGAAATTCAATTTCAACTTCCATCCAAAATTCCAAAGAGTGAATAACAAATAATTCACATAATCGGAAGAAAAATTGTGTATTTCATTGTTGAGAAATTAAATGGCATTGTTAAAATAAAAAATAATGCTACATTTTGATTTTAATATTTATACAAAATTCTCGTTTGTTGAAGAAATATTGACAACAATGATCAAATATATTTATCGCGTTTAAGTAATAGATAATTTATTAATGAAGTAGGCTGAATGGTATCATTAAAAAATGATGCGCAAACTTTTTTGAATTCCCCTCAGATCTTTGAACTTTAAATATTTGCTCTATAATACTTAAATAATAGTTGTAAAATTATTTAAATGCGTTGCATTTTATCAGAATAAATGTTTTATCAATTACACATTTATTTTGACCACCTTGAGGTATTCCATACTAAGCCTTTTTTAAATCACTGTAGCTTTGCAGATGCTGTAAATACTACAACAGTTATAGCTCATTAAATGTAAAACTGTAACATTCTCAAATAAAAGTGGAAATTGATAAAAAAATATTCACAGTTTTCTAATTCATTTGAAACAGTTGAAGCGAATTATGATTTTTGCTGTTCTTTTGTTTTTTTAAGACAAAATTTTTTTTTGAATTTATCACAAACCGATTACAAAAAATTTGTATAATTTCACCTAAAGTGAACTGAATTCAGGTTTTTAAAGAGAATATAAATAACTTAATATTTGTATTTTAATTAATATTGAAGAACTTATTAAATGTGGAAATGGATTCTAAACATTGGTTAGTTATTGGAAATTGAGTGAGATGTATGTTTTTATCATTAATTTCAGCCTTAAAGGCAAATGGCTTTATCCGCGTTTTTTTTTCCCTATACAAATTAGAA